CCCTCTGAAGAGGTGGCTAAATGGTGAACCACAAAAGGTGCCCTTGGGGCACAGAGGAGGAGCGGGTCCAGAGCGGGGTGGCTGGCTCTGGGGATACACCGCCAGCGCGCGGCCCCGCTGAGAGCACCCCAGGTAACTCACCTGGTGGGTTGGAAGAGGGCGCTAGGGTTGCCTCCCCTCAGTTCCCCGGACTCTGGACTCAAGGCGAGGTGGAGTGGGGCCGCAGGGCTGGGTGGGGAGTGTGGAGGGGTCAGGGGGCTGGGCTTGGCCTAACTGAGGTCATGAGCCCCTTGCCCTTTCCTCCATCAGGTTGTCCCTGGGGGATCATGTGGGGGTACAGCTCATCCTGGCTGACATGGAGGCGTCACCAGGTGCGGGGGTGTCCCAGAAGGTCTGATTTGGTCTTCGCCGGCGCTGGAGCCCCAGACTCATGGGTCAGGCTGGCGCTGGATGCCCAGGCAGCTGGGATCCTCCTGAGGCCCCGCCCGGGAAGGCACTGGGCTTCGTGAGGAGAAGGGGTTGTGGAGGGGGTACTGCGGGGCAGGGGCAAGCTGGGGCACCACGGTCCTTCTGATTACTGTTGGAGAGTAGATCCTCATTTCCCCTGCAGTTGGCTACAGGGGTCGGGGCTGCAGGGGTGTCATCTCCACGAGGCGCTGCAGAGAGGGAGTCCTGGGGGTGTGCAGGTGCCCCTCGTGCTGGGGCCGCAGTGGAGGCCTGGATCAGGGCGGGGGCCGCAGGTCAAGGGAAAGGCAGCCTGGGCTGGGGGGCGCTCCGTACCACACGCTTGCGCCTCCCCCTCCTAGCCCTGGACGAGTCTTCACCAAGCTGTCACTGCCCCTTCCAGCTCCCCTGAGGCTCTGGGCAGGGGGCGGAGAGGGGGAGCACCCAGGGAAATGGAGGAGTGTCTCATGACCATGTGGCCAGCAAGGGTGGAGCCGGCATTAGGGCTCAGGCTTAGCCACAAAGTCCACACTCCTGCTGTGTGGCCCCTCAGTGCTTTTCCATGCTTGGGGGTCGCTTGTGCTGCTTCTGGGTTAGCATCTTTCCCTGGGAAGCAGGCCGAAGGGGAGTAACTGTGACTCCTAAACAAACCTGAGGCCTCTGTGACGCTCTGAGTAATTTGGGGGCGTCAGAAATCTATGGACAAGCTTCAGCTCTTGCCCCAGCCGTCAGTGCTGCGCCTTACTGTGCGCCCGTCGCTCTGAGCTTCCCAGAGAAGACTATTTCACCCACCCACACACCCGTCCATCTGTCCATCGTCTCTTCATTCACTCAGTAGTCATGATGCAGCCTTGATTCATAACAGACCCCGTGCTGGAGCGCTAAGACAGTTTCTGTCATCAAGCCACTCGCATGTAGCAGGCGCAGACACCAGAACAGAGCACATGGCACAGCGGGGACACGGGGGACTGACTAGGTGGGTGTCGGCTGGTGAGGAACAGGCCCTGTGGGGCTGGCATCGCTTGCCGCACCTGGGCTCTTAGTGCGCGGGAGAAACCACCGTCGGGGCCAGCCCCACTCCGGCCAGCGCTCCCAAGCCACTTCCCTCCGGCGGGCGGGAGAGCCTCAAGTGTCTTCCTGGCTCGCTTCCCCGGGCCATTTGAGGCTAGAAGCACACATGCGGCTCAGAGTGTGTGGGTGACAGCAGCGTCCCCACAAGCACTTGCACTGGGATGGGCTTTCCTGGCTCAGGAGGGAGGGCTGGCCACAGCCATGGGCCCTGGTCACCGCAGGTGCCCCGAGCACCTGCGCTCCTGCCCTGCTGAGGCCAACCTTCTAGACTCCGCAGCCTCCTAGCAGAAGCAGGGTGGGGGGGGCATGGTGACAGCTGGCCGCCCCCCACTGGCCCTGACCCCACCCCCTGATGAGCCCTTCCAACTTGAAAGCACTCGTGTGTTCAAGCCACCTTCTCCAGGGGCCCCCAGTAACCTTGGGAAGGAGCGGAAACAGATGGGAGCTGCAGAGGCCCTTCAAGGCTGCAGGCGGACGGGGTGGGGCGGTCCAGGCTGGGGGGGCCTGGGGGGTCACTTAACTGCCATGTGACCTGCAGCTTAACCTCTCCATGCCTCAGCCAGGAAGGGCCAAGGCCAGAAGGCCCCTCGTGGAGTCTGAATGAATGGACGCAGCTTGGAGATGGCTTTGTGGGTGCGAGCACCCCGGGGCACCCACTCATTGGAAATATTACTGCTCTCATTCCATGGCCCTCCCCCCACCGCCTTTCTAAGGACTGAAGACAGCAGCTGGCAGAGGGAGGTGGTTGCTTTAAATACGGCATGAGGAGGACAAAAGGAAAATAGAACAGGGTGGGGCTTGTGGCTAAACTTCCAACAACCCCCTCTGGCACTCAGGACCGTCTGAAGCGGCTGCCTCCTGCCTCCAGACCTCAAGCTGCTGAGTCTCCCATCACAGCTCAGTCACGGCTGCGGGGTGGGGGTGACACACTGGTTAGGGCTAGGGCCCCACAATCCACCCCCCAGCCCCCCATGCTCTGTCCTCTGGAGAAGCAGGAAGTAGGTTAGCGGGATGCGGGCGTTTCTCTGTACTGCTTTCAAGACAACATTAAATATTCAGCCAATTTCTCCACAGGCTCCGCAGAGCGCTTCAGAGACACCCCCCCTCCGCCCATGCCCGGGCCGCATGCCCACTGCCTTGGTTGCCATGGGGCCCGCTGCCCTTCACCTTCCAGTGCTGCCTGCCTCAGTGCCCCTCGGCCCCCCACTGCCCCGACTCTGGGGAGACCCCGGTTCTGGAGGTGTGCAGGCCAAGGCTGCACTTGTGCTCTCCCAGGCAGCGGGCCCGGCCTGCAGGGGGGCTGTGACTTGGGGGTCTGTCAGGACAGGGCTGAGGGGACGGTGTCGGTGGGGCAGCTGCTGCTCCCTGTGCAGAGGTGAGTTTTGGGGCTGCCGCATCTGGGCAGAGACTGAGGTGGAGGCCCCCGAGACTGGGAGACAGATGGACAGAGGCACTGACAGGCTTGGGGACCCCAGCGTTCTTGGGAGGGGGCAAACAGGCCCAGGAACGCAGGGACACAAGGCTGCTGGGGGAGGGCCAGGTGGGTGAGTGACTGAGCCCCCAGTGAAGACATGGTCCCCCGCCCAGCCTGGCCTTCTTCATTTGTCAGTGGGGACAGTGATGGCCTCCTCGGAGGTCTGCTGAGGACACAGGATGTTGTGGGCCTGAGGGGGGAGTCCCATGCCCCATCCCCCCATCCTCAGAACTCGACACTCAGCCTCGCCACCCGCATCTCACCACTTCCCCGGCCACAGGCTTCTGTGCAGGCTGCTGCTCCTCACGAGGATGTCTCCTCTCCCAGGAGAACTCTGTGAAGACTCCCAGGGCTCCCAGGACAGAGAGAGGCCGTCCCTTCTAGGGAGCCTACACTCCCCAAACCCCCCTTTCTCCTCCTAGCAGATTATTTCAATGCTTGCTCATCCTCAGTCTGTCTCCTTCAACAGGCTGCAGCCATTCACCACCAGGAATGGTGCTTGCTTCATTGATATGTCCTCCCTTCTCAGCTCACCCTTGCTTCATTGATATGTCCTCCCTTCTCAGCCCCACCCTTTCATCACTGATAAGGTCCTCCCCTTTTTAGCCCTGTCAGCAAAGGTATGTGGAATCCCTGGCCAGAGGCAGGGGGCGTTGTGAGGCAGGGCAGAGTGGCCTTGGGCTCAGCCTGGGGTAGTAGAGGAAACAAAGCTGCTGAGGCCACCAGCCCTGTCCCCTGACCCAGCCCAACAGTGACTCCCCCCACCTCCTCCCCTCCAGGGAAGAGGAGGGGTTGGCCAGTGGCAAATGTTAAGCATTGGCTGCAGGATGGAGGTAGCACCCTGAATCCTGCCTGCTCTGCAGAGGTACTGAGGGGGTCCTGCTCTGGGCGTAAGCCCGGACTCCTGCCCACCTGGGGATACTGCTGCCTTCTGCCCCTCTCTCTAGACAAAGCCACCCAGGCACAGAGGCCAGGGAGAACTGGGCTGGGCCTGAGCCAGATGGGAGACCTCAGAGCCCACACTCCCAACTGCCACCCCCTCACCCCACTTTCTGGCACCTGCGTGCAGCAGATTATAGGAGAGAACAGACGCCAAGCAGGCAGCTAATAAGCTCCCACCAGCCCCGGCCTCCGCACCCCCTCTCTTTTCATTCCCATCTGTGCCTCGCCAATCTCTCTGGTAACATCCCATGTGGCGTGGGGCGCAGGCCGGGGCCAGTGAGTGGTCTCATTCATGTTCCCTGCCCCTGAGAGAAGAACTTGGGCCACTGCAGTGAGATCCATGAGTTGTGCCCCAGATGGTCAGCTCCAGGCGGTGGCCATGATTCTTATCTGCCCTGCCCTGCCCTGGGCTCAGGCCCCGTGCTATTCAGCTCAGGAGCCAACCGGTGGGCTCCTCGCCCTGCTTGGCCCCTGGGGTCTGTCCCAGCAAGCTGTCCGCCTCAGGTGACTGGGCCTCCCAGGCCTGAGCATTCTCAGGGGGTGTGGGGGCAAGGGGCTGGGGGGACACTGGGATTCAGGGGCCAGTCGCTGAGCTTCACAGTCCCTGAAGGCCGCCCCTAGTCCTCAAGACACTTGGCCTACATCGCCTGAGGCTGGGCACCCTCTCCCCTAAAGCCCTACTTTGCCCATGCAGAGGCCTCCCTCCACCCTAGGCAGGGCATGGGGCCTCCTTCCCTTCCGGAATGCACTGTCTGTCTCTTATCACATCACTGCACACCGAGTCCAACAGGCTGAACCACTGGGCTCAGTGTCCCTGGAGCGTGAGGGCAGGCCTGTGGCCACCCACGGGGCCCGGCTCCCCACAGTGGGGTAAATGTCTTTGAACTGAATGAAGTGTTGTGAGACTGAAATGTCACAGAAGCATAGCCTGGCCACCAAGGGCATCTCGTGTTGGTCCCTGTGGCCCCAGTCAATCGCACAGCCCCCCTACCCGAGACGCGCCAGGGAAGGCGGGGCCAGGCAGGGGCTGGGCCCACTCCAGGCTGACGACAGCGGCCAGCCTGCCCGCACGCAAGAGGCTGTAAGTCAAGCTGTTTTCGGTCATTTTAATTGTAAAAACCCAGACATTTATATAAATAAGACCACTGTGTAAAATAGGATTCACCTTCTACTAAAACCCGTCTCCCACACTCAAAAAGAACATAGAAAACCCAGCAGAGATCAAGTACAAATCAGCATGCGGTCCCTGATGAGAAGAAACTGCAGGCCAGGCTTCCCTGCGGCAACAGGCCTCCCGGTGAGCGCGCTCCGGGCCCAGGCCTCTCACCGGGCTTGGCGGCCCCTGGAGAAACTTCGATGGCAGCTCCCGCCCCTCAGCCACTGGTTCCCAGCACGCTCGGGAGGAGGCCGTGGACAAGGCGCCCAGACCAGTGGCGGAGGTGCAGGGCAGGAGGCGCCGGCCTCATGCTGGAGCCGGGCTGTGGGCTGGCAGTCCAGTGAGATGCAGTGCTTGGTTCTGCCTGGGCTCAGGTAAGGGAAGGGGCTTCTGGGGGCCACAGCTTCTCCAGAGCATAGGAAGAGAAGCGGCCAGTGTCCCTGGGAGGAGCGGCTCCCTCCTGGGGCTGTCTGCAGGCGGCTGGTCAAGACCAGGATGGTGGACACTCACCCGCAGGGCTAGGGGGCTGGGACTCCTGGGCTGTGAGGGCAGAGCAGCCCCCAGAGAGGTGGGCCTGGCAGGTCCCCATGAGAAAAAGGCTGTCTCCTCACCCCCTCCTGCCTGCCCATCTCCCGCCCACCTGCACCCAGACCGCTGCCTGGGCCCCACACACACCCGGGGCGCAGTGAAAAGGCAGGAAGCCTGGGGACAGGGATGTTGACAAATTCACACACTGGGCGCAGGAGACTGGGACACAAGGACAGAAGAAAAGACCCCAGACTCCTTCGAAAAAACCAGGACCTGCGGGGAACTGCGCCCCAGCCCAGATGGCCGGTGGCAGGAAGAAGACCTGCGGGGGGGCGGGGAGGAGGGGCTGGGACGGTGTCAGGAGCACTTCCAGACACACACAGCCAGCGTCCCCCCGAAGTACAGGTAGAGGAGGTTCTTCACCTCGTGTGTGATCTCAAACCCGAAGCCCTCGCCGATGACCACGTGCCAGGAGGAGCCGAACTTCTTGTCCATCGTCTCTTTGATCATCTTGGCGGCGCTCTGGAAGGAAGAGGAGGCTTATCAGGGGCGTGCTGGCAAGAGAGAGGCCGGCCACCCTCTCGTGATTGTTCTCCAGCTCATGGACCCTCCAGAAAGGCCACCTTTCCATCACCCAGGGACGGGAAACCGAGGCGCCCTCCCGTCGGGGAGTCTCTGGGCAAGGCGGGCAGCAGGCAGTGGTGTCTGCAGACAGCCTGCGTCAGAGCTGGGCTGGCCCGAGAGCTGGTTTCCAGTGTCAGGACCACAGGCTGCTCCGGGATCATGAAGTCACCAGGCGACAGGCTCAGCAGACCGTGTGGGGTCAGTCCCTCCACTGCGGGGTGTCAGTTCCTCTCCCTGTGGGTTTGGAAGCTGCTCCTTCCTGTGCTCTTTCAAGGAGCCTCTCAGGGACAGTCGAGGCAGGGCAGAGGACGCAGCCTCTGTGCACGTCCAAGCTCAGGCACCCGCTGCACCTGCAGCACCCACCCCACGCCCAGTGCCTCCCCTCGCCCACATCCTCTCAGTGCCCTCGAGACTGCCTCAAGACAGAGAAGGCAGCACCCCATCTTGTTGTGGAATAAGAAACTGGGGCTCAGAGCTGAGCAGTGGCTTGTCCAAGGCAGAAGAGCCAGGAAGGGCTGGAGATGGGGTAGAACCTGGCTTGGCCCGCTCAAAGCCTAAGCTCCTAGGCTGGGGCTGCCTCCCTGTGGGCTGCTCCGATGCTGGCTTCTTTCTGGCTCATCAGCAGCTTAGTGAGCGACATCCCTGTGCCAATGCCCACTGGCCAACCCCCAGCGCCTAGCCCAGTGCCGGCGCAGAGGTGACCTCCGCATCTGTCTTGAATGGATGAATGGATACATGAATGAATGCCTGGGCGGGCTCTGTTCTCCGCTGGGATGGAGCCAAGGTAAAGGCACCCTATTCACCAGCCCTCCGGAGAGGGGGACCATGGATAGGGACGTCACGGAGCTCCCAAGGCTTCTCTCCTTTTAGGGCTGGGCATGACCCTCAGATCAGTGCCCAGAGACAGCACTGCCTCCTCCCTCACTGGCCTGTCGGCTGCGAATGCAGGCTTGCAAGGAGGGCGCCAGCAGAGTGCTCAGGAGCTGCTGCGGGGAATGGGGCCACTCATTCAACCACAGGGGTCACCAGAGGCACAGGGGGCCACCCGTACCTCATTGTTGTTGGAGAATTTCTCACAGGCCGTGACACACAGCTCCATGGTCTCCACCCGCATCTCCTCTGGCATGTCCGAGTGCTAGACAGGGCAGGGTGACAGACAGACAGAGGCTTAGCCCATGAGCAGGCCAGCTGGGCTGGCCTCTCTGTCCCAAGCTTAAGGCGTGGACACCGGGTAGCTGCCCTGGCATCACTCTGGGCAAAGCCCAGAGGGAGACCCACCTCCTGACTAACGGTGCGCAGCTGGGACGAGGGGCATGGAATGGAGCTGAGCCCCGGGGCTCCGAGACGTGGCCCTTCAGCCTCGCCCCGGGGAGAGGAAGACGGCTGGGCCACTCTTGCTGGCGCTGGGCTCCTCCTGCCTCTCTTTCAACCCATGTTGGCTGCTCTTTCAACCCCTGTTGGGGGATCCCTCCTCCCAAGTGCCATGGTGCCCTGGGCCGCGTCTCTACCCTCTCCTCTTGCCCAGCTATCTGCCATGTGGGGCCGCTAGCTGGTCTCGAAGAGTGATAAATCTTCCCTATGGGGAGGGTGCCCACATTGTCACCCCAGCGTTAACCTCCGCTTTGGCCTCTGGACCCCTGTGTGCAGCTGCCTGCTCCACAGCCTGGCTTGGAAGTCCAAAAGCTCACTCTTGACTGCTCCACAAATCCACACGTCCTCTGTCCTCCTCCTCTTGGAAGCTGACACCATTTTCTCCACCGTGTTCAGGAAAAGACAAACCCCAGGAGTCACCTTGACTCTCTCTCCTCATATCCAGCATCCAGTGTGTCAGGAAGTTCTAGGAAGTTCCATTTTTCTACCTCCAAAATCTATCCAGAACCTGACCCGGACTTGCCACCTCCATGCTGCGACCTGGACCAGCCACCCTGCCCCCTGCGTCTCCGCAAGAGTGTCCTCACCCGTCTCCTCACATCCGCTCTGGGGCCCTGAACCCCACTCTCCTTTCAACAACTGGAGTGAACATGAAACAGATCAGTTACGTCCTCTGCGGAAACCCCTCATGGCGCCCCCTGAACTCACGCCAGACTCCACAGCCCTCTCCAAGGCCCTTCCGTCAACTGGCCCTCATGCCCTGCCACCCTCTTGGCACGCACTCCCACCTCAGGCTTTCTAGGCCTGGGGTCTCTCCTGCTCGGAATGTTCTTGCTCCCTAACTTTGTTCTGGTCTCGGATCGAAGAAAACTTTCCAGACACCAGCTCTCCTCTGCAGCCTGATGCCTGTTTTATTTTTCCTGCTAGCACTTGTGACCTGAAATGATGTGCTTTCAGCCTTGCTTTCACGTGGGTCAGCCTCTGTCTGGTTCAGGCTCTATCCACCCAGGCTCGAACAGGGCCCGATAGAGAGTAGTTGGCCTAAGTAAAATGAATGACTGAATGAAAGAATGAGTCACTGTCGCCTCCTACATCTGAGCCAGCAGAGTCCGCTCCCCTTCTTCCCACGGCCGCCCCGCCCCGGCTTACCCTGACCAGGGGGAAGGTATGCAGCCGCTTGTAATCAGCCTCTTCTTTCTTCCCTTCTGTTTCTCCCATGATCCTCCCACTGTGGCCACCGGAGGAGCGAGCGATGCCTCCAGGTGCTGGGCCTGGCAGTTAAGACACACCAGGGAGATTCGGGAAACAGGCCCTGCCAATTTGGTGGGAGCAGAGAACGTCTCTCCCCAAGGGGTGCTGGAGAAAACAGGAAAAACCAGGAGAAAAGAGTTGGCTTCAAAACCATGCATCACAAATTAGAACTGTCTCAGTAACAATTTGACACCTCCCGATCTTAACTCCTCCGCATCCTTTTCCAAATGGCCAGCAAGTCTGCAGTTGGAGGCTGAGTCAACACGAGAGGCTGGGCCGGGGAAGAACACGCTGGTAAGATGCTGCAAGTCCACACTGTCACCGTCAAGACAAACACTGACTGTGGGCCAGGCTGAGGGGGGAGCCTCGAGCGAGCCACCGACGAGCGCAGCTTCTGCGTGCCCGCGCGCACAGCCATTTCCAGCAGACGTGGCGGAGTTAAATGTCAGGTCGCCATCAACAATCCTGGGCGTATTGGGCAGCAAGTGCCTCCTGCTGTCGCCCCCTGATGTACGGGAGGAACAGAACTGCCATGTTCCCTGCCCTGCTGGGCACACAGGCTCCCCAGCGCTTCCTTCCTGCTCCCCCTCCGGCCCCCTGTCCTGCTGGCCCAGGAATTAGGTAGCCTGGGCCTTAGTGCTGATTCCACGGCTCCTGAGCACTGTGGCCTGGGGCCTCGGGTGCCTCATCAGCTACATCCACCTCAAGGGCTGTTACGAGAGTGGACGAGACGGGCCAGGCAGGCCACAAATGGTTGACCCTCTGGCTCCTGGGAGAATCCGGGGGGAGATGCATGGGGATATATATGACACAGCCAGATGCATGGATTTCCTTTTTTTCTTTCCAAATCCAGTTATCTGATGACAGATGGGGCTTTTCCTAAAGAGGTGAGCCTTAATCCTAAATGGAAGCCTTGCTGGAAACCCTACAACACACTTCGTTCTACGGTTCAAAGGATTCGGAGAACTTTTAACCTCAGGAGAAGTACTAAACCCTTTTTCGTATCCCTACTGGACAAATGAAGTCAAATACTTTTAAGCTAGCATTTCTCACATTTCCAAATAAATTTACTTTTACCACAGTCACTGAACCCAAAGATGTGCAGCACAGTGCCAGCAGGCCACGACAGGCTACGGTTAGGTCGCCCGCGTGCCAGCCTGTTTTACGTGCTTCACGTGCCTTTACTCGGCTCCTGGCTGCAAGGGCCCCACGAGGTAGGCCCTGCGTGAGTGGATGGAGGGACAAAGTGGCCACCCAGCTAGTGAGTGGCAGAGCTGGGGTTTAAACCCCAGCAGTCTCTGGTGCGGGCACCAACCCCGACTTGGTGCTGATAGGTAGCTGGTACCCACAAAAGTAACCTCAAGTGCGTTATCACTAGCACGGCTTGGATGACCCCAGCAGTGAGATTCAAGCTGACTCTCCTCTTGGGTGTCTACTATGCTAATGCGAACTTGCCCTTAGTTTGGCCAAGCAGTGCTTGCTCTCAGCTGTTTCGCTATTCCACCCCCTCTGGCACTTCAGAAGCCCCGCCCCTCTCCACCTGAACAAGGGAGCCAGCCTGGCACAACTCCGCCATCCCATAACGCTGGTGTTTTTTTGATTCCCTAGAGGACAGATGCCGCCTCTTATCTCATCACTTCTGATATCAGCTGCTTCTATTTCTCTACATGTCAGCTGGCAAGTGACCAAGCACTAGTTCATCGTACTTTCTGCTCATGCTTCTGCTTTCACAAAATGCGGTGGATTTTGTCTCTGCTCATTAATGTTAAGGCCCATCTCCAATTCCACCCTGTCCTCCTAGCTTTAGCAAAAAGGCACTTTCCTGCGGCCTCCTCCACATTACTGGGGTGTGACAGAAGGTGATGACACTGATGACAAAGGGACAGGGCTTTACCCCAAGATTTCAAGCAGGAACAACTTAAGATGCCCAAACAGCTGTTGGGCACTTCCCACCGAAATGTTTCACTTTGATTCCATGCATCCTAGGAGCTAAAAAGTGCCAGGATGAGAGCCCAGATGCAGAGCAGGGTGTGTGGCCTGCTGAGAGGCCAGGTAGGAGGCTGTGGGGACTTGGCCTCAGCCCTGGAACCCGGATACTCCATCACAAGACCGCAGAGGTCTTACCAAGGCCCCTTCGGAAACAGAGGGAAAAAGTCCCTGGATTTGGGGGGGGGGGGCAGCACCTTGCAGAGGACAGTCCAGGCCCCTGAGGCATAGTTCTAGAATGAAGACAGTTCTAGAATGGAAACAAACTCTGCTCTTCCTTGCTTTGCAGCCTTGGGCAAGTCATTTCTCCTGCACCGCAGGGTCCTGCTCTCTGAAAGGGGATCAGCCCATCTTCTCATTCTCAGAAACTACACAAGGCCAAGGCTCCGCCCTGACTCTGGAACAAGCCGCTCTCCACCTGTCCCCCAGGCTTGGCTCTGCCCACCGTCCAGCTGTCAGCCAGGACCCCCCTACCACTCTCCAACCCCGCTGATTTAAGGGCCCTGCTGGCAGGCAGCTTTCCTCCCCACCTCACGTCCTCCCGGGGGTCCCCGAGAGGTGAGACTTATGGAACAAAAAGGAACGTTCGGAAATGGTGTGTTTCCAGATACAGAAAGGCAGACTTTTTTAAGCTGCTGTCTCATTAGAATGCAGCTGCAGTCATTCGGCACGACGAGCCCTGCTGAAGGGGTGCTCCCCAAAATAGCAGAACTCAGGCTCTGATCACCGTATCCATCTTCCACGCAAATGAGCGCGCGCCCAGCAGCTCCAGGCTAGAAGTCGTGCCGGTGTCAAGACAGCACTTCAATAATGCAGGTCTGCCCCGCCGCGCTCTGCCCTGGCCCTCACCGTCCTCCTCTGGCTGACCCAGGGCCCCCTCACAGCCTAATGGCTGACCGGAAGGCTTCTCCTCGTAACAGAGGCACAGAGTCCTTAATCACCCCCTTGTCAAAGCCAGTGTCTCTCGCCCCTCAGTGGCCTTCGTCACTATTTATTATTTTGCTTCGGAAGCATTTTGGAAAAGTCTTTAAGAAAGAGGGATGAAGAGAAGTGGACTGTGGGAAATAAGGCCAAAAGTGTGTGCCAGCTCCTCGCAGTGGAGACTGTCCCTCAAAGCCTGGAGGAACCCTGCTGGTGGCCACTTTCGCCCCGTTGACTGGAGCGCTCGAGGCCGACCTTGGGCAGATAGATAAGGAAAGCCACCCGGTCCAGCTATCACATCAATCTCTACCCTCATCCAAAGCCTCCCTAACTAAGGAAGTTCAGGAGAAAGATCAGAGATGGAGGTCTGGCTTTGAGGGTCAAATGGAGAAATGACAGCTGAAGCTAAGGAGTTGGGGACTTCTCAGGGAAAACGTAGGGCAGGAAGAGACAAAGGAAGAAAAATGACAAATACTGATCCCACACTGAGCTGGACTCTCTTCTTCAATTCATCTCCTCCTCAGAATTCCCCACGGAGTTGTGCTACAGTATCCTCGCGTCATATAAACTCAGACAAGAAGCAGAGAAGTCAGTAACATGTTTGGGTCCTGCAAATTAGGTTTGCCAAGTTCTTTTCACTACTCGCACACCTCTCCTGGGAGCACAACGTTGGCCTACAGTTGGGTCAAAGAATCACATCCCAGAAGATCAGAGTCCAAAAGGCCCTGGAGATCATTCAACCCAACTTCACCTTTACAAACTGGGAAGCCGCGGCCCAAAGAGGGAAATGAGCCGCCTGGAGTCCCAGTCCGTTGACAGCGGCCCAAGTCCAGCGGGCCGGGCCAGGGGGATGGTGGCCACTGGCCCCCCACGCAAGTGGCGGGAGATTCCTTCGCGAAAGCTGTGTTTGGGGCCGGGGCGGGGATCGGGGTGCTGGGGGAGTGGGGTCAGGGCGGACGGGACAGCGCGAAGATGGACCCGGTCTCCCCTGGGTGAAAGGAGGGGCCTGCAGAGTCGCGACGACGAGTCTGTCACCACCGAGCTCCCAGGTCCCCTAAGTGGAAGGGTGGGGGTCCCCTAAGCGGAGGACCTGGGGCTGGGGACCCGCGGGCGGGAGACTGAGGTGGGGCCTCGCGACGGGCGAGGCCCCGCCCGCCGCGCGACGCCTCCCGCCCCCCCGTCGGGCCGGCGCTCCCCGCCCGGCTGCCCGCCGCGCCCCGGGGCCTCACCTGCTCCCGCGGGGGCCGGAGCCGGGGCCGCAGCTAGCGCACCCCCGCCAGGGTTGTCAAGGAGCGAAACCAGAGTGTCTTAGCAACCAGCAAGGAAGTCCTTCCCCCTCACCGGACGTTGACGGGGTTTTCACTTCTCATTGGTGAATAGAGGTGTCAATCAACGTGAAGGGCCCGCCAACGTCGAGGTTTGTGCGGAAGAGGGCGTGGCCGGGGCCGGGGAGGCGGGGCTTCGCTTGTGGTGGTCCTGAGTGGGCCTGAGGAGGCCCCGGGCGCGAAGTTCTCGTTTTTTGTGAGGAACAAACTTTGGGGGTTTCCTTCCGTCATTTTGATACCAAATGCTGCTTGTTAGTGTGGCACAGAGGGGTTGCTTTATTGGTATCTCAAAGAATGAACTAGCGTTTATTCGAGCTTTACGGTTGGCGTCTCACACGCAAACTTCGCGCCCCCGCTTTACACGTCTCTGACCACCTCGTTAGAGGAAAGCATCGCGGTAAAACCCCGGAGAAGGGTCCAGGTACTCTCACCTGCAGCCCGCCCGGGTAAGAGTCGCCTGGGCCCACCTACATCAATGTAAAGACCCGCCCTCCGAGCCCGCCCTGCCTCCCCTGCGAGGAGACGCATGTGTGAGTATCAGTGCAAACAGATTCAGGCACTAGACTGGAGGGTCAAAGGGCCAGTGGGGCCCTCCCTCAACATTCCCTTTATCGTGATGAGTCCCTGTGGTGAAATCCCTTGGCCACGTCCACAGACAGGGGACGCGACCGTGGCCTGGTGCTGGTGATTCAGAGAGAAGTTCTGTTAGGGGGAAGGGATGTCCTGAGCTAATCCCATGCAGGCTTTGTGGACGCCACCCCCACCCCAGACCAAAGCCATCAGGACACTGGGAAAGACAAATCCCGTCACCACCAAAGGAGGGTGGCTGGGACCTGCGGGTGGAGTTAAGCAGCCAGGGTTGGTATAAAAACCAAACACGTGGGCCTTGGGGTCTCTGGCTCGCTCTGTCGCTCGCCTCCTGGCTTCACGGCTCCTGGCTCGCGGCCAGCTCGCAGAGCGCCATTTTGGGATTCCTGATCGGCGGATCGGGTAGGACGCATTTAAAACTTTGTCTCCCACTTTTCTCCCTGAGCTGTACATTTCCTCATTTCCCCTTCCCTTGTGAATAAACCTTTTATGAACCTTTCGCGTGCGCCTGCGGTAGAGCATTGATAAGTCCTTTTAAGCACGCGGGTGAGGACCCACAGTCAGGCACCCCGTTTTGTATTGGGGCTGCCCTATAACAGTTCCATGAGGACCTTGGTTCTGTGAATGCGCCTTGGGACAGCCGGTTAACAAACAGAGAAGTCATTGTCCCAGCGATGTGCTGAGGGTGTGGACAGGGTGCTGGTTTTCCCCAAGGAGAAAGGTGGCACTTGAGTTGCCCAAGATGGCCAGTAGGCAGTAGGCCGAAGAGGGTGGGAAGCACAGTTCACTGGGGAGCTGTTGGTGGTTCCGTGTGGCCTGCGTGGAGGTGAATGTGGTGCAAATGGCGGTGATGGTGAAGAGGGTGGGGCGAAGGTGCGGAGAAAAGTAGGAACCAGATTCCTACCCAAGTCCCTGACAGATTCAGGAACTTGGGTGCTCTCTGGGGTGATGTGAGAGTGGGGAGGGTTTCAGGCCAGGCAGAAACTAGGTCAGACTGAAGTGATAGAAAGATCCCTGGATTGGTAGCAATGGCGGACTGAGTCTGGAGTGGGCAGGCAGAAGACGTTCACAATGAGTTTGGTTTTGAGACTTGGCAGCCCGAGGTGTGTGAGGCCCTCGTTGCTTCCCAGCTTGCCTCCCTGGTGTGTTTGGAGGGTCTGTGGAATGTCTGACTCAGCCTCCAGATTTCCTGAACCCTCTTTGCCAACTTTATCCAGGAGAGGCAAGGTGGCCTTTGAGGGGGGCGAAGCTCTCGCCTCCGCCTCTCATCCAAACTTCTCCCAAAAGGGGTCCACATTTGCTGGCTTCTCGTTCTCACCTCCCATTCTCTCCTCAGCCCACTACAATCTGGCTTCCACTCCCACAGCACCACTGAGATTCTCTCTTCCATGGCTGCTGGTGACCTGAAGAGTAGAATTGGGTAGACCCTATAGTGTTTATCTTTCTGGATTCATCCCTTCTGTTGGCATAAGTCTGCCGACCACGCCCAACTCCATGAAATTCTCTACCCGGGAGGCAGTACCCACGGAACTATTTACATGCAGATTCCAGGGTCTGTGGCATCAGCATGCTGGAGGGCAGAAATCTATTTTTCACAAGCACCTGGGCACACAGTTGAGAATCACTGCCCTGTCCTGACACCTGGGGTACCTCACTTTCCTGGATCTCCTCAAACCCCTCTTCCCTCCAGCTCCTTCTTGGGCTCTTCTTCCTTTGCTCTGTGCCCACCCTCTTTTCTTGCAATGGTATTGCATTTCTTCCTACCTTAGCTCCCCTCTTCATCAGCACCATTCTGCCAAGGTCATACTTCCTAGAGAGTTTACTGGTGTTGAGAGTACTTTGGAAAAGTCCCTCTGGTGATTCCAGACACTCTTTGAGAGTCGACCTCTGTGTGTATCTTGTTGAGAATTGCTGTGTCTTATCTACTCCCAGGGTTTCATTTTCAGTGTCCATCTCTGATGACTCCTGTGTTTCTCCAGATTAGGTCTCACCAGAGCTCCAGCTCTAAAGGTCCAACTAACTGTCCCACTGGCCCTGGCCATCTCCATCAGAATTTCCCACAAGCTCTCAGACTCACTGTGTCCCAAACTGAATTGATCATCTCCTTCCAGCCTGCTCTCCTTGCATCCCCCATCTCAGCAAATGGCACCACCACCTACACTGTTGCCTCCATCAGAAACCAGGGAATATCACTCTTCACACTTCCCTTACCATCGCCCACCTCCAATCAATCACAAGCCTGCCAATTCTGACTCCTAACTCTGTCCTGATTATAGCCCTTCTGGCCATCTTCCTGGCACTACCCATGTGCACAACACCATGATCCCATCTGTATTTTTGCAACAACTTCCTGACGGCACTCCCTGACTGCCCGTTCTCCCTATCACTGTCGAAGGGACCCTTCTAAAACCCAATTTTCACCCCTGCATTCCTCTTGAGCAATTTCTTCCCTCTGTCCTTGATTCCCTATCACCTACCAGGTGTCGTCCAGCTGCCGTGACCAGGCATCCAAGACTCCCTGGGGTGGTCATGGGCACCTCCATCTGCATGCAGCCCCGTCCCCTGTGCTCCGTCCCCAGCCACATCATCCCTCCTGGCTCTATACACACTCTGCTCTATCTCCCCTCCTCCCCTTTGCACACGCATCCCTGCTGCCCACATTCTCTCTCTGCCTTTCCCCCCTTTGGCTCTATTAGCCCATGTCCCTCTCGGGCTAAGCTACACCCCAGAATTCCATCAGCTGCTACCAGAAGAGCCCTTTGTGCCCCTGTCTTACTGGGCACGTTTCTATCACTGTCTTGAATTGAGTGTTTCTCTCTTCCCTGTGAGCTCCTTGAGAACTTTGTCTCAACACCCCTGTTTTCACACAGGATCTGACAGAGTAGCTGCCTGGTGAGTGTTACCTGAATGGGTGTGTGTGTGAATGAATGAGGTGGAGCAGAGCCTGGCCCACTTCTGCAGTCAGCTCTTGTCAGCTGCAGCTTACACTCCAGCTACACCCTTTCATTGCTCCTGCTGTTTCCAGTGGCGCATGGTGGAGCACCCCCCAATCAGCTAGGAATTGGATCAGCAGCAAGTAACAGAGATTGGGAAAATGGTGACTTAAAACAACATAAATTGATTATTTCACATTTCTGGAGTCAGAAGTCTGAAATGGGTCTCACGGGGCTAAAATTTACGTTCCCGAGTCTCTCTGGAAGACAGAGCCCTTCCCTGTACTAGTTTCTAGTAGCTTCCAAATTCTTTGACTTGTAGTTTCCTCAGCTACATCTGCTGACATGATCTCCAGCCTCCCTCTTTGGGGTCTAAGAACACCGATTCCATTGGGCCCATCTGGATAATCCGCATTAATCTCCTTATCTCCTGTCATCTGGTTAGCAGCCTTAGTTCCACCTCTAAGCTTATTTCCCTTTGCTGTCGGACATAACCTGTTCAGTTTCTGGGGGCTAGGGTGTGGACATCGTGGGGGTCCATTATTCTACTATAGTCCTTCTTGGTAAAATTTTTCATGGGCATTTGAAAAGAATGTCTATTCTATAGCTGTTTGTCAGGTCAAGTTTGTTAATCATTTTGTTCAACTTTTCTATACTCCTACTGAACTTTTTGCCTGTTAGTCCAATAGTCATTAAAATATTCCACTACAGTTGTGGATTGAATTTTCCCATTAGGTTCTGCCGATTTTTACTTTCTATATTATGAAGCTATGTTAGTACATGCATACACATTTATAATTACTTGTCTTCCTAAGAGGTTGATTCTTTATCATCATGAAATATCCCTTTTATCTCTAGTAATGCTTCTTGTTTTAAAGTTTACTTTCAACTCAGTACAGTTATACCAGCTTTCCTTGAATTCATGTTTGCATGGTATGTATTTTCTTTTCTTTAAATTTCAACCTTTCCATATTATTTTATATGGAAAGGAAATATCAGTGTTTTCACTGGAATGCTTTTCATATTTAATGTAGTTAACAACTTACCTTAAATGTAGCTTTAAATCAGTCAACTTACCATTCACTACTGATGCCACTGTGTTTCTTTTTCTTTCCCCTTTAAATCTTATTTTGAATTATTTTTCTGTAAGAGCTTGTTAGTTATATTATCTCTTACCTTCTAGTGATCACCCTGGGGAGACATAATATTGAGCCTAGACTCATCAAAGTCCGGTGGGGTGAGTGCTTTCTCCATTCCAGGACTCCTCAAGACTTGAGTGCATTAACCCCAACCACCTTTTATTCTGTCATGAGTTTTAAACCCACAGAATATAATCATTTTTTTAAAGCATTTTTTTAAGATTTATTTATTCATGCATATAAGAACTGGGGTACAGGCCAGATGTGTGGGAGGGCATGAGAGGATTCACCAGAGACAGAGCAGGAAACGGAACAGGCAGAATGACTGAAACACACTGCT